ATATGGACCCATAACTTTAAAAATACGAGGGGTTCAATGCTAATAACCTTAAAGGTTGAACTTATAGAGTCTAAATCCTGGATCCGCCTATTTCCATCACCCGTCAAAACATACAACCAAGACCATAACTAGAAAAAAAAATATTTAAGCATACTAATAACGGTAAAGTTCTTGACAAGCATCTCATCCAAACAGACCCATGGCATGGACTTACATTCCCCAGAAACTACATAATTAAACACTTAAAAATGAAAATTTTAGAACACACCACACATTCTTAAGCTCAGTTTTGTTCCAAATGCAGCCAAAATTAAGTATAATTTCAAGCAGCAAATACCGAAAAAAAGATAAGCAGTAAAAACTGAGACTTGTACACATTTAAATTACTACATAATTAAACCCAGTAAAGATGAAATATTTAAACATAAAACAAACTTTAGGCTAATGATTATACCAAATGCAGCCAAAATTAAGTATAATTTCAATTACCCAGAAAAAGATAGGCAGTAAAAACTGAAACTTGTACACATTTGAATTACTACATAATTAAACCCTCAAAGATGAAAACTTTAAAACATAACACAAAGTTCAGACTGATGTTTATACCAAATGCAGCCAAAATTAAGTATAATTTCAATTACCCAGAAAAAGATAGGCAGTAAAAACTGAAACTTGTACACATTTGAATTACTACATAATTAAACCCTCAAAGATGAAAACTTTAAAACATAACACAAAGTTCAGACTGATGTTTATACCAAATGCAGCCAAAATTAAGCATATTTCAAGAAACCAATACCCAGAAAAAAAGATAAGCAGTAAAAACTGAAACTTTAATCATTTGAAGTAATTATGAAGAAGAAGAAGAGCGTAATAAGAAAGATATGAACCTTGAATAAAGAATGCGAAAATAGTTGACAGAATTGTGGGTATAAGGGGTTTTTGGTTTTTGTTGCTATCCTTTGGAGAGGAATTGAGTCAGCATTAACAGTAGTAGTTGTTGTCTGTTGGAGTCTTTAAAGACGGAAATGGAGTCGGGGAAATAACTGGGCCTAGTATTTATGGGCCTATAATGTTACTGGGCTTAGATCGTTGTTGGGTTTTAATATCTGAAAGCAGTAAACTAGTGAAAATAGCACGGGCTAGTCAGTTTGCAGACTTGTAACTGAAAAATAGCCAGCGTTTACAAAGTTATTGAAAAATAGCCACTATTTTACTGTAACATGGAGAGTTCCAGCATAATATACTGGAGATTGGTGAACCTATATATGAACTTCCAGCATGTTATGCTGGAACTCCAACACATGGAAAGTTCCGGCATAATATACTGGAGATTGGAACACCTGTTTATGAACTTCCAACATATTATGCTGGACCAGTATATTATACTGAAACTCCACTATATTATGTTGGAAGTCCAGTATATTATACTGTAATTCCAGTATATTATGTTGGAAGTCCACTATATTATGCTAGAACTCTAGTATATTATGTTGTACTGGAAGTCCGATATATTATATTGGAACTCTAGTATATTATGCCGGAACTCCAGTATATTATGCTGGAATATTTTTTGGATTTTGAAGAGTATTTTCGTTCAGATTTATCTTTATATGAAAAGTGGATAAATTTTGATTACTTTTGAAACTATGCCTATTTTTCAATTACCACTTGTAAATCTGACTATTTTTGAATTTCACCCAAGAAATTATGGTAGAAATGACACCAGGTAGCCCGTCTAAAGGGCTGCTATTTAAGAATTAGTCGTGTGTCCTGAATTTCAATTTTTCAGTTCAAATTTTCGGGATAAAAATATTTTGACTTGTCCTAAAATTAATATTTTTAGTTTAAAATTTCAGGACAAAATAAGTACTGGTTAATCTCTAAATAGCATCACTCATAATGACTATATGTGCACTTGTCCCGAAATTATGGTAGAAATTATACCAAGTAGCCTGTCTAAAGGGATGCTATTTAAGAATTAACCAATGAGTCTTGATTCAACTTTTCAAGATACAAATATCCTACAACAACAACAATAACAACAACCCAGTGTAATCCCACAAGTGGGGTCTGGGGAGGGTAATATGTACGCAGACCTTACCTCTACCCCGAGGGGCAGAGAGGCTGTTTCCAGGAGACCCTCCGCTCAAAGAGGCAACAAGAGATACTATATTAGTACTATCAATAGACTCATAATAAAACAACATAAAATACCGTAAAATTCATAACATAACACAAAATTCCATAAAAAACAAAGTAACAACANAGATATAGGAAATACGAGAAAGATGTAAGGTATTAATACACAGAAGATAAAGCCCATCATCAATAGTTGATCAATAGCATTCTAAGACTAATTCCTAACTGGCTAGTCTCACTCTAGTGCGCTGTAAAAAAGACATCACAATTTCCCCTAACCTACAACCTTAATGCTCGATCTCCACAATTCCCTGTTTAGCGCCATGTCCTCAGTAACCCTAAGTCGCGCCATATCCTGCCTGATCACCTCTCCCCAATACTTCTTAGGTCTCCCTCTACCTCTCCTCGTACCCACCACCGTCAGTCATTCACACCTTCTCACCGGTGCATCAATGTTCCTCCTCTGAATTAAAATTAAATATCCGAAAATTAAAATTTTTAGTTCAGATTTTTAGGACAAAATAAGTACTGGCTAATCCCTAAAGGGAAAATTTCACATAGGAATAATTGGGATCCCTACTTTTCAATTTTATAGCCCATATTTTAATTTACAATCAACTAACCCAAAAATAATAGGCTAAGATCAACATCCAACTCCTATAAGTTCTCAAAATTACTATTTAATTTTTAAAAAAGATTGCTCAAGCTTTTAAGTTAATTTTTGAATCAGTAACTGTAACCCAAATATTAGTTCAAGAAACCAAATCCATTTGGGTGGTGAAAATTAGATTTTTAACAAGCTTAAATATGTGGGTTTAGATTTCGAATTTGATTTTGTGAGAAATTTGGAGTGTGTATGATCTAGAATTGTTAGAAATAGTATAAAGAGGTTGCATATAAAATTTGAAGTCATTTAATGGAGATTTGGACTGATTTTGAACAAGAATTGCAACTGAAAATCGTGGAAGAAGTTCGTCTACAGACGCTTGTATAAAGGTATATAAAAATGTATAATTGTGTATAAGATGTGTTTATACACTCATATCCACTATTATACAAGATTATACATAATTATACAAAAAACTAACTTCGTCTTCTTCCTTGCGTTTTTTTCTGAAATTTAACTCAAATCTTGCTCAAATCTACACCAAATCACTTCAAATTTAAATTTTGAACTCCTTTTGATATTTTCAATCAATTGGAACAACATCCAATCCAAACAACTAACAAACTTAAAAAATCTTATTTTTGAAAGCAAAGATTTGAATGGCGTTCAATGGTGGAATGTTGAATCTTCAATTTTCTTACATTGCAACCACATGATACAGGGAAGAAGCAGTAATGGTGGACGACCCCTTGAAGCATATGTAGAAGATGTGAGAAGTAAAGAGAGTGAAAGCAATGATTGTGAGAACATAGATTTAACTCCATAGCTTTTAGAAGCAATGGTTGTAAGAAAACAGATTTTGAAATTGCTAGTGCTTTCAAAATATATACAATATGGGCTAGGTCGGGTAAAATTTAAAAATATGAGCCATTTTTTGTTATGGTGTGAAGTCAAGTGTATTTTCCTGTAATTCTTTCATCCCTAAATAACATCCATAAGAATGGCCGTTTGTGTAATGAGAAAAAATTTAATGAGAAATTAAAAAATAGCCGGATTTACGACTGGTCGTTCAAAAATAGCCCGGTTTCAAACGTAATCGACATTTAGACACTTTTCATGTAAAGATAAATCTGAGCGAAAACATTGTTCAAAACCCGGAAAATACGCCAATATATTATACTGGAGTTCCAGCATAAGTATGCTTGAACTCCAACATATTATACTGGAATTTTAGGATAAGTATGCTGGAACTTCAGCATAATATGATGGAGTTCCAACATAAGTACACTAGAACTCTAGCATAATATACTGGAATTCCAGCAAGTATAATTGTCCAGTATAATATACTGGAGTTTGGAGCACCGGTGCTCCAATCTCCAGTATATTATACTAGAGTCAACAAAGTATACCGGTCCAGCATAATATTCTGGAGTTCATACACAGGTACACCGAACTCCAGTATATTATGTTGGATCGGTCTCTGTTGCAGCAAAATAGTGGCTATTTTTCATTGACTTCGTAAACGCTAGCTATTTTTGAATGACCAGTCCGAAAACTGGCTATACCGTGCTATTTGTACAAAATAACCCCGCGCTAGAATTTTAAAGTTTTATGTCAGAATTTGAAGCCGCTGCTAAACTTTCAAATAATATATACAAATTAATAATTTAGTGAAATCTAAAAGGTTTAGAAAGAATTCATAAATTTCAAATTCCGGCTCCATCTACACGGAGAACCGAAGACATATTAAAATTGCCCTTTAGTCTGTGCTTAATAATCTTATGCTAAGCAATTTCTGATTTGTCATCAATCATCATATACGAGGTTTATAATATGTTTTGGGGAAGTATCATCCTACTATTTGCAAATCAGAGCAACATCTCCATCTATTAGAAATGAAAAAATAGAGAGAGAGAAATGAGAAGGATATCCACTCCAAGATTATATAGGTCAACTTAAAACTTCGTTTTTGTATACAACTTTATATAATGATTTCGACAAAGACATGTAATTTGAAAAAATAAATATGCAGCTTTATAAAAGACCACAAAAATAAATTTTCTGTCGCATGTTAATTGGATTTTCCTAAGAATCTTCACTGGTTATATTACTTAGCTTTTTATTTTCCAATTTATAATTTAACGAGAATTTATCATACATAAAAAATTATTAAAGCATAGAAATGTGTAATTGCAAGTATAGCACCAGTGAACACTTTCTGAATTGAACTTTAATGGAAAATCCAAACACATAAATGGAAATTCAAGCAATAATATAGAAAATTAGAAGCAGTCATGTCCTTAAAATAATCACATAAAAGGATTATGCTTCAGTTTATTTCACTAACAAAACTACATTATTCTAAAATTATAAAAAAAAACCATAGAAATGAGAGCACTTAAATTTCTTTATCACTTTCCTCCAATAACCGTGGAATCAACCATTGATGTTTGTATTAGGGTAGGCTACCTATATCACACCCCTTGAGGTGCGGTTTTTCCCCGGACCTTGCGAAAACGCAAAATATTTTGTGCAGCGAGCTGTCCTGTCCTTGTTCTGATAATCAAACTTTATCAAGCACTTGACTCTCTTTTACCCCCTCCTTTGTGCAAGATTCATCACTTCCTTCATGTTGAATACCTTTATACCATTTTGCAAACACCACAAATGCAAACAAATCAACCAAAGCCAAACCAAATAGCAAGAAATAAAACCTATCAATATGTCCATTATTCAAATTCTCAGGTATCCAACCATGTCTTTCTCCTCTTGCTGTTATTGTCATAACCATATTCACAAGCATACTACTAACATAATTCCCAAGTGACATTGATGCCATACAAAGTGAACTCCCTAAACTTTTAATTCCATCTGGTGCTTGACCATTGAAAAATTCAAGTTGTCCAACATACATAAAAACTTCTGAGGCACCAACGAGAATATATTGTGGAATTTGCCAAAAAATACTTAGTGAACTTGCTTCTTTTCCAGGGATTACGTGTTTAAGTCTGTAAATTTCTGTTACGCCAGCTGCAACCATAGATAACATACCGATAACTAATCCAACTCCCATTCTTTGAAGTTCGGTTAATCCTTTTGGATTTCCACTTATTTTCCCAGCCAATGGTACGACCATAAACCTATACAGAAATGTACAGGCTAACACACTACATATATCAAATGCTGACATACTCGCGGCTGGGAGGCGAAAATGGCCAATTGTTGCATCCATAACCTCACCTTGTTCGACAAATAAAGAGGCCATTTGTGTAAATATAACAGAATACATTATTGTGCATAGCCAAATTGGACACATTCTTATGATGCATTTTGCTTCTTCAACTTGTGTGATTGTGCATAATCTCCAAGGGTTAAATGCTGGTCTTTGTCTATCTTCTTCTGTCACTATTGCTGCCTTGTCTAGTTTTCTGGACAAATTTTCAAGGCAAAATAAGAAGTTATTAAACACTAAAATTACCTAAGAATGTAATCGAACGGTCAATAAAGTGGATGAAAACCATGTGACCGAAGTTCAAATTCTAGCAAAGATAGAAAAGGTGAATTTGGTGATTATAGTTACTTAGAAATACTAGTGGGATATAATATATATCTAATGGAATAGTCGATACGCACACAAGCTCTAGCCTGGACACTGAAGATATTATATAAAGTCAAATTCTCGATAACAGTCTTATTTGTTTCAAGGCTGGATATAGTGAAGTGTTGTTATAGAGGACATATATTATAACATAACACATATATTGGTTCCGAGAAAAACTTGATTTCTATAGTGAATGACTATTTTATAGGGATACTGTTATAGAGATGTCTGACTATATACTAAAAGTTTTTAAATGTCTTTTGTACGAGTAATAAAAAATCTTAAAAAACAGATAATATGGATCGAAGGATCAGAACAACTCACTTGAAATCATTACTATGAAGGATCTTCCGAGTTCCTTTAATGCTTGATTCTGATCCATCAACTTCATATAGTTCTTCCCCTTCAACATTAGCCACACGCCATTTACGAACCGCGGCGACGAATACTTGAGCGACACGTGGCAAAGGATTACCAAAGGATTTAACATACTTATAACCAGGAGTACCCAACAAGAAAATGAACAAGCCCAAAAGTGCAGCAGCAGTAGAAGCCCAAAAACCAAGAGTCCATTTACCACCATCTTCATAATATACCAAAATAGTATTGGAAATCAAAGATCCAGCATTAAGTGCAAAGTAAAAGTATCCAAAATAAGCTGCTCTTGAGATTTTTTCTTTAGGATTTGCCTCATCAAATTGATCAGATCCAAATGTTGCAATTGTAGGTTGATGACCACCATAGCCAAGAGCCACTAAATAAATGGCTAAGTAAAATAATGCAGTGCCAAGAGGAGATGGGGGTACACAATTCAGTATTCCATCTCCACATCCATTAGGTTTGATCAAGAAAATCCAAGAAGTAATTGACATGATCACCAATCCCTGATTTAATCACATATCAAGTTAGTTAGTAACAATGCATGGGATTTAATTTATATACACAGACGATGTAAAAGAGTTCTGCACGATATATGTGATCAGTCATGTTATAGTAGGTTAAAAGGGGCAGCCCGGTGCACGAGGCATCCCGCGTTTACGCGAGGTCCGAGGAAGAGTCGCACCCCAAAGGTTGTGGTGTAGGCAGCCTATCCTGATACAAGCATGAGTGGCTGATTCCATGGCTCGATCCCGTGACCTATAGGTCACACGGAGATAACTTTACTGTTGCTCCAAGGCCCCTCTTCTCATATTATAGCTAGTTATCTACCTTATTTTCTAAGTAAGTAATTCTACTTAGTATACACGACGTAGTTATGTTTTAAACGATCTGGTAGCGTAAATTTCTCTTTACATTATCAGTAGTCTATATAAGTTAAATTCATAACGATGATAATAACTATTGTATATATAGATATCCTCTGTTTAGAAAAGAAACTTTGCCCTAACTAGTTTTAGATCTAGTATTATCCCATTCCATTTTATATGGCACTATTGAGTGCGACCATAATTTATGAAAGAAAAAAAAGACTTTTGACACATCAAAAATATCCTTATAACCTATGTTGCACGGACTCTTCAACAACAATGTCGCATTTATGTCGAATGAGGATCCGACACGCACCGGACGATATTTTTGAAGAATCCGAACAACATAGCTTAATAAATTTGTGATCCTTAAACAAGTGTCAGGATATTCAAAAATACACTTATAACCTATGTTGCACGCACTTTCCAATAGTGATGCCGCACCCATGTCGGATGAGGATCGGACATGTACTGGACGATACTTTTGAAAAGTCCGAACAACATAGCTTATAACTTGTGATCTTAAACATGTGAGATGATATTCCTATAACTACAACAACTTATCGTTATGGATAAAATAAAAAGTTTACTCATAATATATTTAATTACCAGGAGGAGAATAAGCTGAAAGATGGCACAAGTGAGAAAACGACCCCAGTAAGAGTCACTGATGAAAGCTCCCAAAAGGGAACACAAATAAACAGTTCCAGTCCATTTGCTGACATTGTTAGCTGCAGTTGCATTATCTTGTCCCAACACTCTGACTAAGAACAGTACTAAGTTCACCCCAACACCAAAGAATGCTAGTGTTGCTAATCCTTGGTTTACTGCAACCACCAAAATATAAAAATAGATCATTAGCCAATAGTTCCACTTTTATGTTGCTCAGACTATTCAAAAATGCAGAAAAATGAAGTATTATCAAAGGCGAAAAGCGCAAAAAAAAACTAGAAGGTTTGTTAGGGCTTTAAGCGCAAAGCGCAAACAAAGCGTAGGCTTTGATGAAGAAAAGCGCAATTTGAAAAAAAAACTACAAATGCGTATGTGTAGTCCGAGACTAATACCTATAAGCATGAACACCAAATATATGAACAAAAAAATTGAATATTTTTTACGATTCATTGTTTAGTGTCGACTCTTTAGGATTACACTCATTGACAAGGAAAAGTATGTCTTAGAGCCTTGATGATAACACTAAAACTCCCGCTAAGCGAGGCGAAACGCCCAACCTGTTTTGAGCTTCGATTTAGGGCTTAAGCATGCCTTTGATAACATCGAATAGATGCGTGTCAAATCCCACATAAATCCAATATGGATGCGACAACATATTTGGGAAGTCCGCGCAACATTTACTTTAATAGGAAATTATACCATTAGATTTAATTTAATTTAATTTAATGTAAATATACCTAAACAAAGAAATGCTGAATACCATCCTCCAGTTTTTTTGCTTCTAAGGACTTTAAGCTTGATGATAACTTTCTGCTTGAAGCCATTTTTCACTCCAGCTGAATTCTTTTCATTTGTCTGTGCCAAAAAAGGAAAGAAAATATTAATAATTAGGTTAACAGTGTCCATTTTTTCCATCCTTTTAATAATTGTTCTTATTTCCATTTTTTCCATCCTTTTAATAATTGTTCTTATTTTATTTTATTTTGTGAATAGTCATATATATGAACGTGTGCAATGAAAAGCACGTGTTAAATTAAAAAATCCCTTAAAAGTATAATAATAATGAAAAAAGGAAAATCCCACCAATATTTAAAAGGAGAAATTGGGCCCTGCCATTTACTAAGAGAAAAGTAAGATAGAGCTATTTAAAAGTGATAATTTGTACCTTCCAATTAAGTCCAATAATTCCACTAATAATATTTGCTCTAATCTATGTTGCTCGGACTATATATTTAATATTGCTACTGTACTCGTGTTCGATCCTTAAAAAATATACCATTTTTAAAGATTCTAACACGATATAATGATATTTTTAAAGAATACGAGCAACGTAAGTTTAACAATATGAAAGCTTTCACTAATGCAAAGAGAAAATAATATGAATAAAAGCAGTCCTAACCTGTACTTGCATGGCGTTAGTTGACACAATTGTTGCCATTTGGGATAATCTCTGTAAAATTCAGATGCAAAACAAATTATATACTATACTATAAATTACAGAATAACGAAAAGGGAGTAAAAAGCCACAACAAGAAATATCTTAATAATTAGGTTTAGTTTCTTCACTTTCATTACACTATCAATGTGTGTGCGTATATATATATATATACACATACATACTTATATTTAGACAAGTATATTTTTTCGTTATTTAGCTGAAGATATATAAGAAACAACATAGTCTATATTTAATACATTGTGTAACATCGTGAATATTTTTGGCATTGAAATCGCTATTATGTCCATAATGTCAATATAAACAAGGCGGATGCTATCATAAGTCATTAGTTTTTCCATGTAAATGAAAAATAATCAGAATATGGTACTGAGTATAAATTGTAAAAAAAAGAACTCAATTCATTTTGGGGAGAAGAAAACTTACTAGAAGTGCTTGACTGCAGAGAAATATTATGAATATTTGCCTTAGCAATTATATGCATGCAAGTGAAAGAATGATGAAAATTGATAGAGAAAATAGCTCAATATATAGAAAGTATAACCAAACTGTCGTTTTCAAAATGATCTAAAAATATATTTAGGACAAGTTTTCAGATTCATTGAAAGCCTTTAAAAGTGGATTTCATGACCTATGTGAAAATCATTCTTTTTCCTAATTTTTTTCCTCACTTTAAATCAATTGGTTTTGTCTTTTCAACAACACCAATAATAAATCCACTGAAATTTCAAAAATGGAGTCCAGGAAGGGTCAGTGTGTACCAAACTTTAGCCTAATTTATGAAGATAGATAGGTTGTTTCCGATAGACCCTCGGCCCAAGTAAAGAAAAAAAAGCAGCAACAACAAGCAGTGACAACATCAAGATAAGATGATAAGGAAATCGAAGTGAATCTATACTACGAGAAAGGAGAAGGGATACACTCGACTATCTACTAATATTGTACCCTAATTTTCGACCTCCACACTCTCCTATATCAAGGTTCATTAGTTATGTCTTTTCGTGGTCCTTTAATTTTTTAAATTCATGCATCACTGACTACATAGAAACAGTATCTCATAGTATTCAACATTAATCAAAATAGCATATGAAACTTTTTCACCAACTCTCAAATCTAAGCAAGAATAAGATTTATTAGATAAATGTCATATTCAATTTCAGTGATAAAAAATAGGACAAACAATTTGACATCTTTGTTTATATTTTTCTACTTTAGGTGTTGTTGTCAATCAAGAAAAAGCAAGAAACTATCTATGGATGTAAATATTCAGGCAATTTTTACTTGTAGGTGAAGTATTATATATATGTGTTTACACTATCAAACATTGAGAAATTTCCATTAAGTAATAATAATAACATCATACTAATATTCATAAGATTTGACAAAGATAAGAGAAAGAATCTTATTTTAAAATATATTGTTAAAGGATTTAAGTTGTATACACAAAGCGGAAAGAATTTTTACACTATAAATGCGACACAATGTATTAAGATTCAAACCTTTTACGGAACTTGGTTGCTGAGAAATTCGTGATAGTACTGGGTTCTGGTGAAGGAGAAGAACGTGTATCGATAAGCTCAATCGTCAGAACCGACTGATAAATCACTTGACTCTCAGGAATATCAATAATACTAATAAAATTGTTAGTAAAACCTTTTGTCATTTATGGTGAGAATGAAAAAAAGAAGGATGTTAAAACTCTTAATCTTGCAAAGGGAAGACAAATCAAGAAATTTTCACACTTGAAAGTTCTTCAAACCTCTCATTATTTCACTAATCAAAGAAATTAATATAAAGACACGAACAAGAAATCCTAATTCTTGAAGATTATGGATGAAGAGAATTAAAAAAATGGAGAGATTGATAATTAAGTGATAAGAAGTGACGTCTATCTTTTTATAAAGTTTTAAGAGGTAAATTCTGGAATTCTGTTGAGCAACAAACTCCTAATAAAACTCTTTTTACTCTACTACTTCGGAAATACTTGGTTGACTACTAAAATTTGAATTTTTCTACCTCCAACGGTGAAAACAAATCAAACAAATTCAAAATATATATTTGACTAACTTGGTAATATTCAATAGAGAAAACATTATTATAAATCCAAAGTCTCTAGTAGATACCTAAATTATTTAGGATTTGATATTTATAAATTTATTTAATTCATGTTTAATTAACATTTGTAGTTTGAATTATATAAAAATAAAATTTTCAGTTTCTAGTTGAGATAGGTTTCTCAATTACTATTATAAATATAGATCTGGAGAATTGTGAGAAAAATTATAAAGAGCATTCAAGAGTTTCAAATAAAATATTTTCTTTAATGTTACATAATTTAATAGTATAATGGGTTTGGTCGAACCTATAACTTATATGCTACCCCGTCTCTAGTATAATTTATGTTAGAATTTAACCTATTATCTTAAAATTTTCACACTACTAATGTATTTTTATTACTGTAACATATTATTTACCATCTTTCGCAGATCGCCAATCTATATTTGTTATAGAAAGTTAATGTAAAAATTTGTTACGTTTTCATAGTATGGTTGTTAAATTTTCTCAAGATATGATAGCATTACTCCCTTTTTTTTTTGAATTCTGAATATCAAAAGATTAATTTTTTCTAAAAGAAAGAAAAAAAGAAACTGCCTAATTTAGAGGATAATTTTACTAGGCAGTCCTAGATAAATTAATCTACTTATATTTAGTCAACTATTCTTTTACATGCACGTGTCAAAAGATTATGTATCGAATCTTATATGTTTGACAAATATATAAGTGGAACACGATTTCAGCTAATTATACTATAATAATGTAATTAAGGTCGTTTGAAATTTAAAATGTGATAAGGACACCATATTAACTGTGGAAATTCGATGACTTATCAAATCACTCTTGAAGAGTCCCTTTCAAAATAGAGTCATCTTACGATAAGGCTGCTATTAATTAAGTTGTTCCCCACTCATACCAAGCTCAATTCCTATGCACTATTTATGGGGAAAACTGTCTTCCACTTTTTTTTCATCCTATCTTTTTTTATTTTCTACCCGGTACTCACTACTCGTAATAGGATTTCCGGCCAATTCGAATTCATACCGTATAATTAAGACCAATTAAAAAACAAACGCTTTTTACCTGCAGAATTCTTTTCATTTTTACGACTTGAACCAGTGATTTCTAATTGAGAATGGACAAATTATCTCCATTCCATCGTAGACTTTGGCGGCAAAGACGAGCCTATGTTTGGAGAAGAGGGGGTCACCAAATACTGTTAACTTCTGCATAAAATTTATATATATATATATATATATATATATATTGGTGAAAGAAATTTTTATTGATCCCGACCAGACAAAGTTATTTACAAATGGTATATCCCTACCATCATCTATAAGTTATTCTATCTAGCTTAATGCCAAAACGGTATCATCCTTGCGCATCCCTACTAGGTAGGTCTGCCCTGTTAGAATCTATTTCTACACTCTTGCATAGTCATTTCCTATCTGTACAAATGATTGATCCACTCTATTTCTTTCCTATTCTTTCTGTTAGCTACTATAAGTTGCAGCCTGTATTTGCTATCTCTTTTATGCTCTTCCACATCCTTGTTGGCATTGGCACTTTCTGATTCCATAGAGCTTCATTCCTTGCTCGCCATATTCCATACATTATTGTTGTGATGATTGAGGTCACAAAACCTCGACATATTCTCCCTTTTATACATCTTCCTATTTTCCTCCAAATGCTCTGTATATCTAGTTGATTTAGCTTTATTCCCAACCAGCTGCATAGTTCATCAATGTATCTTCTAGAAAACTAGCACTCGAAGTACAAATGATGTACTGTTCCATCCTACAATCCACAAAGTAGATTTGTTGTCTCCTGGCTCACTCCCATCATATGCAATCTGTCCCTTGTAAGTAGTCTCTGCCTCATAATCAACCAACCTATAAAGCAGTGTTTTGGAACATTCAATCTACTCCAAATCCATTGTGCATATGGCCATTTATGTGTTGCTTCTCTTCTCCATTGGTATCCTTCATTTACTGTGTATCTATTCATTTGCCCCTTCCACCCTTTTTGTTCAAAGCCTGAAGCAAAAACTATTTTGATATCACATATCTTCTTCCAATACCATGCACAATCTTGTGGTGGATTGTATTGCCACCAATCCTTGCCCTTTATGTATATGTGATTTACCCATTTGACCCATAATGCATCACTTTTTGCTCTATATTCCGTATATATTTTGCCAATGCTGCTTCATTCCATGGCACACATTCTTGTATTCATAATCCTCTCTCTTTTTTGGGTCGGCAGACTAGGTCACATGCTACCAGTGGTGATTTATTCATGACACTTTTCCCATCCTATAAGTAATTTCTACATATAGCTTCAATGTCTTTCATGACCCTTTTTTGGAAGAAGGAATATGTGCCCAATATGAGTGTAGGTGCAGCAACACAATGTTTACCAATTGAGTTCTCCCTGCATATAATAAGTTCTTGGATCCCCATCCTTTTATCCTTACCAGAATCTTGTCTATCAGCATTTCACAATCTACAACACTTAGTTTCTTTGGGGATATAGGCACTCCAAGGTACTTAAATGGTAGTTTACATTTCTTATATCCTGTCAGCTCACATATGTCTTTTATCTCTCTTCCATTCATATTTGCACAGAACATATTCGATTTATTTGCATTAATTGTCATACCAGATGCATTTGAGAATGACTTGAGACCCCTTAGCATGAGCATTACTGATGCATAATCTCATGTGCTGAATAATATCATATCATCCGCAAAATAAAGGTGTGTCAACTTCAATCATTTGCATTTTGTACGATAAGTAAACTCTTTCTGCTTAGCCACATGCCCCATGATTCGTGTAAAATATTCCATACAAATCACAAACAACAAGGGGGAGATTGGATCCCCCTGTCTTAGTCATTGTTTCTCCTTTATTTTGCCATAACATCCTCCATTTAAGTTTATACTGTAGCTGGTTGTTGTGATACATGCCATAATCCACCTTATGAATAGTCCAGAGAAGTTTAGTGCATGCATCATTTCCTCCACAAACTTCCATTCAATAGAATTATATGCTTTTTTCAAATCCACCTTGATCAAGCAGCTTTTAGTAGTTTGTTTCCTATTATATAATCTGACCAAATCTTGACAGATCAGTATGTTCTACACTATTGTTCTCCCTGCCACAAAGGCACTTTGATTTTGTGAGATGATATCTGGCAGTACCCCCTTTCAATATGTTATACATCATCTTTGAGATTATCTTGTACACCACATTACAACATGATATGGGTATATAATTTTTAACTGTTGTAGCATGAGAAGTTTTTGGTATAAGAGTGATCACTGTGCTATTAAAAGCTTTGACCATTTTCCCAGATTGAAAAAATTCCAGCACAGCTGCAGTGATGTCCTCCCCTGCAATGTTCCAGCTATCCTTGAAAAATTGACTTCCATACCCATCTAGCACTGGTGCCTTTGTCCCTTCTATATCCCATAATGTCTCTTTAACTTTCTTTTGTGAAAACTCTCTTATCAGTTGGTTCCTTTGTTCTTCTAAGACAATCTGTCCTTCTTTGACTATGTGGCTTGCCACATGATCTTTGTTTTGCTTATCATTGCCTAGTAAACTTGTATAGAATTCCTTGAAAGCATCAACTACTGCATCTGTTAATTAGATTGTTTCTCCTTGCATGTTCTGGATTGTGAATATTCTGCTTGCTGCTCTCTTTGCCTTGATCACTGAGTGGAAGTAGCTTGTGTTCATATCTCCATATTTAAGCCATTGCAGTTTACTCTTTTGCTACAAGTAGTTTAACTTTTCTTCCTTCCAGTATATGTATTGCTTTGTCAATTCCTTCTCCTCTTTGCCTAATGTTTCATTCCTGGGATCTTTTTGTATTTTCTCTTGGAATTCTATAAGCTTCTTTATGCTTTCATCTTCCTGTTTCTCTACTTCTGCAAACTTGTGTTTATTTAACTTTAACAATACTTTTTAAAATCTGTTTAATTTTCCTACCACTTTAAACATGTTTGTCCCCTATATTGATTATCTCCAGCTCCCCTCCACTCTTGTCATGAAGGAATTATTCATGCTTCACATGTTGTAATATCTGAATATCCTCATCTTAGGTTCACCTGTTCCTCCCCCCCCCCATTTGATCATTGCAGTATTGTGATCATATACTCATGATGGCATATAATGAACCTCAGATGCTGGCAATTTATTCACCCAGTTATTATTGGTAATTACCCTGTCAATTCTACTTAGCACTCTATCATGTCCTTCTTGTTTATTACTCCATGTATAAAAACTCCCCGATAATTTCAGCTCTTGAAGTCCATAATTTTCCACACATTCCTTAAACTCCTTTATTTTTGCATATGTCACCTTACTCCCCACTCTATCCTCTTGACCGAGTATAGAGTTAAAATCTCCCATAATTGCCCATGCCCCTACCATTTGATTAGCTATCATTCTTATGTCTCTCTACAAGTCAGAACTTAGTGTTGGATCATTGAATCCATACACAATTGTCACATTGATCCTCTTCCTTGTGCTACTGTGAGTTATGATACTATGAATGAGTTGTTCTGTCACAATTTTCACTTTTATAGTGAAGATATGAGGCCTCCACAATATCCATATCCTTCCTGCATTATGTTTAGAGTGATTTGTAGTATAAGACCACCCTGTGCAAAGATTAAAAACAACGTCATTTGCCTTATCTCTCTTAATCTTTGTTTCCAAGAGCCCAAACAGTCCAACCTGCTATTTTTGAAGGAATAGATT